GGGTGAGGGGTTACTTGCAAGGAACAGAGATAACTCAAAAATAGCAGCATTACCAGAACATACGTGAAACTTGCTTGCTTGGAGGCAGCTCCAACCTGGACCAGCAGGCCATACTTCAGTGACAAGGTCCTGAGAGAGAGAGTGTCAGGAAATCAGAAGAAAAGGAGATAGGAAAGTTTGGACTCTGAAGCTTTTCCATAAGCTGTTTTATGGCAAGCAAGCTTATCCAGAAGTACAGCATCTTATACTATTTCCAGGATAGAGTTAGCAGAAATTATCATATAATTGGAGGAAATCAGCAGGAAGCTAATCAAGCACTCTTGCACTAAGGGAACACAAAAGCATTGTAGACTGAACACACAGCAGTCTTGGTGCATTGTCTCTTCGGGGGTGCGGGTGGGGAACCAAGTTCTCAGGAACTGAAACTTTTAACTTCTTTAAGGCCTCACATCCCAGCCCCACACTGGGCCTTACCTAGTCAGTCCCTATGCAAGGACACAGAACTAGTCCCTTTTGTTCCTCTCATCAGGGCCTCTGATAAAGCCTTGCATCTGTCTAGCTTTCAACACTCCACAGTCAGATCATTTCTTACCTGATTTCTTCCCACAATTTGGGTGGTTAGAGTATCTAACCCCATCAACTCTTCCCTTTTATACTGTTGGGGGAGACTCTGAAGAATCTTCCAAGCTTGTGTTCTTCCAGAATGTGCTCTTTCATTTACCTCTTATCACCCAAGGCTCTGGGCCTCCCTATCCTTCCAGGGGCAGATGTTTCAATTTGGAGGGATTTTCCCAATTCCAAAGAACATGCCTACAACATAGCCCCTTTCCTTGCCTCCTGTGGACTTGTCTTCTTTGAAGCTCTTCCATGATCACTTTTCATGAGATGCACAATTCCAGAATGATAGTTATCTATATTATTTGGAATACTCTCTGTCCCTTGTTTAGGCTGCTTTTTCTTTGGCCTTGACAGGCTGTGCTGTGAGGGACCTTAGTTTACTTTTGGGTTAGTTAGTATGGAGTTTAAGGTCTTTAATTCTTCCTGCCTATGTTCCTGGGGTTCTGAGTAGTTTAACAATAGATCTTTTCACTGTAGGCCTTCCATCATCCATTTTGTGTTATATTTTATACTGGATTTAAGAAAAAAATTTTGCTTGAGGGAAAGTTTCACTGCACAGCCCAGGCTGGCTTCAAACACTGTACTGCCCTGCCTCAGCCTTAAAAACTCAAGAACTGAGATTGTTAAATGTCGCCATGTGCAGTGCTTCAACATTTTAGTCCTGTATTCCTTCTCTTGACTTTATTCACTATGCTAAATTTGCTCTCGCTCTTTTTTTTTTTTTTTTTTTTTTGAGATAGGATTTCACTATGTAGCTCAGGCTAGCCTTGAACTCATAAGTGATCCTCCTGCCTAGCCTCCAGAGTGCTGGGATTATAGGCTTGTACCACCATACCCAGCTTCATCTATTGAATTCTTAGTTTGGGTTCCTGGTGTTTTAGAATTTTTTTTTGTAGTGTTTGGGGTTTATTTGTACTCTCACTCTAGTCTAGAAGTGTGGCTTCTAGATCCATTGATACTTAACCCAGTTTTATTTTTATCTTAGACTTCTGAGAAACAGGAATTGACTGGACAGGGTTTAGGTAATCACCTACTTCCTGCTGCCTTCCTGCCCTGAAGGCCTAAGAGCATTCTTTCTTTTACAGGTGGATGACGAACTGGAAATCAAGGCATACTATGCAGGCCATGTGCTGGGGGCAGCCATGTTCCAGATTAAAGTGGGCTCAGAGTCTGTGGTCTACACGGTCAGTGGAAGTATTTGGCTTCAGTGAAATTGCTTGGGGGTAGAAAGACAACTTTCTTATTGCAATTTTTCTTTGCCAGGGGGATTATAACATGACCCCAGACCGGCATTTGGGGTAAGTAGGACTGTGTCTTACCATGGGGGCTTTCCAGGACTTGATAACTCTAAGAGGCATCATGGTGGGCACATAAGTACTCCCATGCAGTGTGGAAGTACCTTTGGAAGTCTGGGCTACAGGCTCATCTTCCCTGTTGTCTCTTCTGACATATAGAGGAGCTTGTGCCAGGGGCTAACATCCACTTTGCCATTTCCAATTCTGTAGTCATGAGCAATCCATCATCCCTATTCCTTCCTCTGTTCTAGGGCTGCATGGATTGACAAGTGTCGCCCCAACTTGCTCATCACAGAGTCCACATATGCCACAACCATCCGAGATTCCAAACGCTGCAGAGAAAGAGATTTCCTAAAGAAAGTTCATGAAACTGTGGAACGTGGTGGAAAGGTATTGATTGTAGGCAGGCTTTGGGTTTATGTGCCCACTTTGGCTACACTCTATAGGCCTCCTAGCAGGCTTTGCTGTTGTACCTTTGTTCAGGGTCTCTGGGTATGGGGGTTGTTTGTTTGGCACTAGAGTCTTCCATTCCCTTTTGCTTGCATCCTATGAAGGGCTGTTCAAGAGCCTCCCATAGTTCTTGCTGTCTCTACATGTACCAAATCTGTGGTTTGTAGATGTCTGGCTATTCCTTTGCAGTAATGTCATCATTTAACTTGCTAGCAAGGGTGCAATAAGTATCTTGCTATCTGATGTGTTCAGGGAATGTTAAGTGTGGCCAGTAGCTCCTACCTGAACCAGCTTCATCTACCCCCAGGTGCTGATCCCTGTGTTTGCGCTGGGCCGAGCACAAGAACTCTGCATCTTGCTGGAGACCTTCTGGTAGGTGCAAACAGGAAAATTCCACAGGTAGGCAGAAAAGGATATAACAGCCTCCATGTAGGAGAGTAAGTCTCTTATACTACCAGGCACAGTGGAACTATTAAGAAGTTAAGACACCATTGACTACCACTGGGTGCTCTATGTCTAGGATACAGTACCACTAGCCCTGCTGTCTTGGGTGGAGCTGTGTATCTGTTGGGACATCACACTTGAGCCATCATCTGCTGGCTATATTGGCCAACATGTGGTTCATGTGGTTTGCCACATGAACACTGAGCCTCCTCACATGAGTTCTGGGGACCCCTGTCGCTTCCATGTTTCATGAGTCTCAAGGTCTGGCCTGGTGGTCATCAGGGTAGAGACAACACAGGGTTCAGTTCAAGGTACATTTGACTGAGCCCTGACCATAGCTACTAAGCTGTGCAGTAGAGGGCATAGGGCTACATGTTGCAGGCTAACTCTGCCTTCCATGGTGTACACACAGGGAGCGCATGAACCTGAAGGTACCCATCTACTTCTCTACGGGCCTGACAGAGAAGGCCAACCACTACTACAAGCTCTTCATCACCTGGACCAACCAGAAGATCCGGAAGACATTTGTCCAGAGGAACATGTTTGAGTTTAAGCACATCAAAGCCTTTGACCGAACATTTGCGGACAACCCAGGTCCCATGGTAAGGCCCTGGCAATGCAGCTTCTCCACATCTGGCCTCCCCATGGGGCTCTGGTAGTCAAAGGTCTGGTGCTTATTGCAGCCCTAGGTAAGGTCTACTTTTCTGACCCTTGTCAACCCTGCAGGTTGTGTTTGCCACACCTGGGATGCTGCATGCTGGCCAATCCCTGCAGATCTTCCGAAAATGGGCAGGAAATGAGAAGAACATGGTGAGGGTTTGGAACCAATTCCCAAGGAGGTTAAGAGGGTTCCTTATAGCTTTAGGGAACTGGAGTACAGAAGAACTGGCCCTTGAACTTTGTGCCCCGACCCTATGATGCCACCAGCAGCCCAGACTGAGCAACTGCCACAGTGATTGGCTCCCCCTGAGAATTCATGTTAGAGGTTGTTTCAGGAGGCAGTGTCTATCGTGGGAGGCCAAACAGTTGGACCTCACTTCTGCTTGCAGGTCATCATGCCTGGCTACTGTGTGCAAGGCACTGTGGGCCACAAGATCCTTAGTGGGCAACGGAAACTAGAAATGGAGGGGCGTCAGATGGTGAGTGCCTCCCTGTCCTGGGTTCAGCAGGCCTTCCTAGCTCTTGCTGCTGCTAACCCTGCTTACATCTTGTGATGCCACAGCTGGAGGTAAAGATGCAAGTGGAATACATGTCATTCAGTGCCCATGCTGATGCCAAGGGCATTATGCAGCTGGTGGGACAAGCAGAGCCGGAGAGCGTACTGCTGGTGCACGGCGAGGCCAAGAAGATGGAGTTCCTGAGGCAGAAGATTGAGCAGGAATTCCGTAGGCAGCTGGTGGGCAGGGAAGATCCATGGGGTGGAGCAGACAGGCTGGCAGCCTAGACTGAGGCTCTGTATTACGTTCCTCAGGGGTCAACTGCTACATGCCAGCCAATGGTGAGACAGTGACGCTGCCCACAAGCCCCAGCATCCCCGTGGGCATCTCCCTGGGACTGCTGAAGCGGGAGATGGCACAAGGTATGACGGGCAGACTGGGGCATGGGTCAAGGGATGGAGGGAACTGGTGGCTTGTGTTGACCGCATCATTCCATTCCTCACAGGACTGTTGCCTGAAGCCAAAAAACCTAGGCTTTTACATGGTACACTAATTATGAAAGACAGTGTAAGTGTATCAACAACAGTGGTGGGGTGCGGATTACATTCATTACTTTCCATGACCTGTTTGCCTTTGCCCCACAGAGTTTCCGGCTGGTATCCTCAGAGCAAGCCCTCAAGGAGTTGGGCCTAGCAGAGCACCAACTGCGCTTCACCTGTCGTGTGCACCTGCAGGACACACGCAAAGAACAAGAAACAGCCCTACGTGTGTACAGCCATCTCAAGAGGTGCGCCCTGGCCTTGTCCCACCCCCTACAAGCAGAGTGAGGCAAGGGTCTCACTATGCCTCTCCTTAGCACCCTCAAGGACCACTGTGTACAGCATCTCCCTGATGGTTCTGTGACTGTGGAGTCCATTCTTATCCAAGCTGCTGCCCACTCGGAGGACCCTGGTACCAAGGTGCTGTTGGTCTCCTGGACTTACCAGGTAAGGAGGGTAGGCATCATTGGTATTCCTGGAGACCTCACTTCCTTGGTATTGTGTTTAACTGTGGTTCCCTCTCTTATAGGATGAGGAGCTGGGAAGCTTTCTCACAGCATTACTGAAAAATGGCCTTCCCCAGGCTCCCAGCTGACATATATCCACCACTCTTGTTTCTTGCTGTTTTCCCAGCAGGAGGACCAGGGCTTCGGCTTTGAGAGGCGGGTGAAGACCATAACTGGGTCACAGACTCTGTCCTAGGGATAAGATCAGAGTCATAGGCTGGCTAAAGTAATAAACAGGCCTTTTTGTTCTTCATGCCTTTTATTCCTACTCCCTTGCCCCAAGAAAACAGAGCTCCCAGAAATCTTGGGTTCTTACAGCTTTTGACTGCCTGGTACCCCATGCTGGTCCCTCAGTGACAAAGGGATGTAGATTAATCTCTGCCGAGCACAGTAAATGTTGGACAAGGTTGATAGCCTGTGTGCTGTGTGGCTTCATTTCCACTGTGTACCGTCAGTTGGTTTCCACACTCTGGACACCATACGGTTCAGGATGTAGGACCTGTGGACAGACCCTAGGTCAAAGTAGAACTCCTACTACAGTTCATCCAGAGACCCCAGTTACCCCTAAAATCCAACCCTGTAGACCACTTAACTACATGCACCATGGGGATCACTGATCCCTAACTGAAGTCCTTTCTCCCACTGTCATTGGCTTCCCCACTAGGTGCTTGGATTCTCATCTAGTACAATGGGGGGTTTGACTGCTTCCAGAAGTCCCCTCTCTTCAGTGAGGACCCAGCTTTGGGAAAGACTCTTTCCGACCCCATCCCCTCTTACCAAAGTTGTTATAGAGCACTGACTTCAAGAACAGGCCACGGGCTGGGGCAACTCGAGCCTGATACTTGCCCAAGGGATCTTGACTCTCCAGAATCACTTTCACTTGTGTGGGTGCCAGAGTCCCTAGCCCCACCGCCACCAGCACAGCTGTCATCCTCCGCACCTGCAGCAGAGAGCTCAGGTTGTTAAAGGTGTCTAGCTGAGCCCATCCTGGGAGGGTTAAGGTAGCCTACCTGTCGATAAAGGAAAGACTGGCTTTCAAACTCCAAGGTCCAGAACTGCAGCCTCCTAGGAACACAGACAGCTTTGAGATCCAAGCTACAGGGCAGCCACAGCCAACCTAGCTCACCATGTGGCCTCAGACAAGACAAAGATTTAAATGCTGGTTTAAAGGTTTATCCATCCAGGGTGGGTTCTTGCCTAGTTGACCCCCAGTTCCAGAGGGGGAGTGAGTTTTTCATGACTTCTGGAGTCTATATGTACCATAAAAGAAGACAGTTATATATAACGGAGCATTAGTTAGTCTGCATAGGACATAGCAATTGTTTGGGGCCTTCTTCATGTATCAGGGCTATAGTATATGTGCTGAAGCAAGACACAGCCAGCCCACCTATCAAGATGGAACCTCACCCATGTGCTCTTGTGTCTGGTCACACCAAAGTCCCTTTTCCCCTTAGAGCTTGTTCCAGATGTGATGTGGTTTCTGGTGAAGCCCACTAGGCAGTGCTTAAAGCAGAGAACTTAACACTGTCAAAGTAGAATGAACTACTTCGCTCCAGTGAAATCTTTTCAGTGACTGCCAGAACCTATGTGCTACAAAGAGCTAGGGGCCTGGTAAGGCCCTCAGAAAGGCAGCATTTTCTACCCTGTGCTCCCCAGCCTGGCAGGGACCCCACCCAACAGGAACAGGAAGAAGATACAACTTTCTAGCTCACCTTTTCTAAGTGGCCAGCACCTTCCACCCTCTAGGCCCTCTATACCAGTTTAGCATCATCCCACTTTTTCCTTTTTTTTTTTTAATTGGATATTTTCTTTATTTACATTTCAAATGTTATCCCCTTTCCCGGTCCCCACCCCAACCTGTGAAACCCCCTATCCCATCCCCCTTCCCCTGCTTCTATGAGGGTGTTCCCTCACCCACCCATTTCCACCTCCCTGCCCTTGAATTCCCCTACACTGGGGCATCGAGCCTTCATAGGACCAACTGATGCCCGACAAGGCCATCCTCTGCTACATATGCAGCTGGAGCCATGGGTCCCTCCATGTATACTTCTAGGTTGGTGGTTTAGTCCCTGAGATCTCTGGGGGGTCTGGTTGGTTGATATTGTTCTTCCTATGGGGTTGCAAACCCCTTTAGCTCCTTCAGTCCTTTCTCTAACTCCTCTATTGGGACCCCATTGGGGACCACTTGTTCAGTCCAATGGTTGGCTGCAAGCATCTGCCTCTGTATTTGTCCGTCTCTGGCAGAGCCTCAAGAGACAGCTATAGCAGGCTCCTGTCAGCATGCACTTCTTGGCATCCACAATAGTGTCTTGGTTTGGTGACTGTATATGGGATGGATCCCCTCATCTTTTATTGGGGTATTATGAAAACTAATTTAACCCTGGTGGCCTCTAGTTTGGCAAATGGAAAGGCTAGTCTCTCACCTGCTCTCCTGGGGGAGGACAAATGGACTGGCTGGACCAGGAGACACAGAGACTCTTCGTAGTGTGCGTACAGCATTTGTGACTGGGCTGCCAGCAGACTGGAAGGCACTAAAATCATGTGTCCCGAGGAGATGCTGGGCAGCCTCCTGCATGGCAGCCATATCCAGGTACCTGCAGAGCCAAATGAGCATTGAGGAGGGCCCAGCCAAATGGATGATGAGCCATTTTCTTCCCATTCTTAGCTCACTCACTCTGTCTGCAGAGCCCAGCATACATTTTGTTCAAACACAGGCAGTTGATTAGGCCAGGAGCAGCCTGTGGCCAGACGGTATAGGTAGGTTCTGGAGGTAGCTGCGTGGCGAGCGTGGAAGTCGTTGGGCACTCGGAAGGCCTTCAGTACACTGTGGCAAACAGATCTGGCTCATCCCAGGAATGAGTCTGCCCACCTGTCCATATAGCGCTCTGGAAATCTCAGCCTCCCACCACAGTGGGGTGTGGGGTGCAACAGTAAAAGACAAAACAAACCAGAATCATACAAAATTCCCGGGCTCACCGAATGGCTGGGTGCTTCAGGTGGGTGTTGAGGGCCTTAGTCACAATCTCCGGGGAGAAAGGTGGCAGGCCTGGGCGACGCTGTATGTCCAGGTGCGCTGCGTTGCTCAGGGCATGCACTCCCGTATCAGTGCGGCTAGAGATAGTGAACCTGACAGGCTCGACAGAGTTCAGTCGCTTGGCAGCCTCCTGCAGGAACGGTACAAGCAGGCTGCCACAGCGATGGCCAAAGCCCGTGGAACAGTACAAGGAGTGTGGGCAGGGATTGGAGCTGCCGACTGCTTCTTCCCCCTAAACCGGCCATCGATAACAGCTCACCTCCAGGAAGTTCTGTACCCCAACAGCGCGATGATTACCCCTCACGGCCGCAACTCCACTGCGGAGAGAAACAGGAAGGAATTATCTGTAGCATCTGCGGGAGCTGTCCCGCCTGGGATCTCGGCCCCCAAGAGCGTTCGTTCCGTCCAGGCCAGGGTTGCTAGGCTTCTAAAATTTCGCATCCCAAGACCAAACGCCCAGGCTGCCGATCGTGCTCCTCCCGGCCGTCTCGCGGATTTAACCGCGAGGTCGAGTGGAGAAAGCGGAGGTACTAGCGGGAAAACGTACTTGAAGTCAGTGCCCAAGTACTGGAAGAACACAAGGTAGCGCGCACGCACGGAGCCCACAGCCCCGCAGGAACCCATATTTGAGTGGCTGGCGGGCGGGGCGGTTGCACGTGGCCGGCGGTCGACCCTGCCCAGCTGTGACGGCGCCTGCGCACTTACTCGGTCCACCCCGCCTGAATGGAGAAACGGAGGCGGGACCAAGCTTAGGGAGCGGATGCGAAGTGCTGTCTTCTTGACCCGACTATGTTTACTGTCCTCTGCCTCACAGGGGCGCGTTGACGGGTTGCTTCCGCACAAGTGTCCTTAATTCGTTCACTCCCGATCTCCCTGCCGCCGTCCCGGAATGTGTCTGTTTGCAGCATTCCAGCCGAGTGCTCCCAAATGTAGTTTTTGTTAACTTCCTGAGTTTAACCACGGCAGGGATGCCTGAAGTGAGAGAGTCGTGCCCTTCCCTTTCTCGAGGACGAGCCAAACCACTCCGAAGCCCAACTGCCGCGCCCAGCCCAGCTCCCAGACCCCGGTGGCTGAGGCCAGAGAGCAGTGACAGGCAAAGGAGTGCAGCGGCGCTTTTAGCGACGCTCCCCAGAGGTGACAGCGGGTGGTGCAGGCGGCAGCTGACTTTGGCGACGCTCCCCAGCGGTGACAGGCGGGGCGGGGCCGCGGCGCGCCGGCCTCATACCGAGGCGGGCAGGCGGGCGGGCGCGGAGCGCAGCGCAGCGCGGGCGCGACGGACGGTCAACCGGCCGGGGATGCCGCTCGACGCGCCTTGGTCCTCGGTACAGTGAGGACCGCTCACCGCAGCCATGACGGTAGAGTTCGAGGAATGCATCAAGGACTCGCCGCGCTTCAGGTGTGCTGCGGGCCTGGGGTAGGGCGCGGGCAGGGATGGGGAGCCGCCTTTGTGCCGGAGGCCGGCAAGGGGTGCTCAGGGTGGTGACTGCTCCAAGTCCACCTGGACGGAGCAGAAGACCTGGCACGAACAAACCGGCTGGAGCCGGAGTCGCGGTCCCCTAGCTGCGCAGCTCCGCCTCCGGCCTCGGGGGACCGGAACAAAAGACGCCCCTGTACTGATCACCTCGCGCGCGGGGGTGAGTGCTCTGACTGCCTTGGGCAGCTGTGTGTCACTGGGCATTTGCGTTCAGTGCCATCTCTAGAACTGTCCACCCTTCTTTGTGTGTATGCTTTAGTGTGCCACAAGTACTGAGCTCCTCCTTGGCCCTGTAGTCCAGTTCTGGCTAGGATTGTCTGGCACCCTGCTTGGTCTCTGTCTTGATCCGTATGCCCAGCGCAGTGTATTGGTGCGAGCAGCTGGAGCCATCAAGGCCTGAGATGGACGCCTTGATGAGAGTTAACGGATGTATGAGTGACCCAGGAGCCTGGAGGGGTAGAGGCTGTAGGGATGAGGAAGTCATGTTTAGGTGGCAGGGTATGGGCCTTATTCACCTATGGGTTTGTTTCTTTTATTGTTCCTGGAATACAGTTGTGCACATCTGTGTGAACTACATGGCTACACAGATATACATGTTTCATTGGGTAACATTTGGCCCACAGTAATGGTGTACCTCCTGTGTGTCATTTGAAATTGCATACCTTCATATGCATATACACATACTTCTGTACATGCATATACACAGGGGAACATGTTCTGCCACTCTGCTCCTCCTTTGAGTAGGTGCCAGGCGATGCACAAATGTGTGGGTGAGCTGTGATACTGAGTTGGTGTGCTTGATTCGTGCACATAGCCTAGTGTGGATGGACATGCGTGTACATGTGCTACATCCCTGTGGAGTCATGAGCCATGTTTGTCATACTACTAGACACATGTTAATATATGCAGGTGTGTGTTTTAGAATGCACATGTGTGCACTGTGTCCCTGGAACACATGTCTATATAATCTGTGCTAATACATGTATGCATGTTTATGTATAAGCATGTATCATGCCTTTGCACATGTGTGCTTGATCACATATGTACATAAATGCTGAGTTTCTGAGGGCCTACCTCAGCAGTCCAGCTTTTTGCAAAGCCACCTTGCAAGAGAATCAGCAAGAAACACCTTGGAGCATTAGAGTTTGCCAAGAGTATCCACTGACTATAGGCAGGTTGCTTGAGGCAGTCAACTATGCCTTTCTGTTTTCTATTGAGAGGAGTGGTCTGAGAGCCTCTGATACCCCACATTTCTGCATCCAAGCTTGGTAGGAATCATGCCCAAGGCCTCTGTGAATGGAACTGGGACCCAGTTAAGGCACTCTCATCTTTGCCCTGACCCCTTTCTGCAAAGCCCTGGCTCCACCTGCCCTGTACAGGGGTTTGGGCCTAAGCAGAAATCCATTCACCTCTGGGCCTTCTTTGCCACATCCAGCCAGTTGGACTTGTGAGGCTGCAGTAGGTGTGGCAGCTGCCTAGGCTTAACATTATTTCTTTTGGGGGGGGGAGGGGAACTGTTGGGATGGGGGCTGAGGATGACTCTTTGGACACTGGTCTTGAGGTTATGGAACCTGGCTTGGTGGGTTTGGGTGGGCTGTGATTGGATGGGTTGGAAGAGTACCTTGTCTACTCTAAGGTGTTACTGAGGTTATAACTTGATCTTTCTGGCCAAGAACCTTTAGGTAGGGCAGGGTGGGGCTGTCTGAAGGATGTGGAAGTGAGGTGGAGCCTAGACCCTAACCTGGAAATGGTGGCATACTTGCTTTGGGACTCATGGCCTAGAATGAGGGCTTGTGACAGCCTTAGGAATGTCTCATAGTCCCTGAAGCTGTGGGTGGGGGTGCAGGGGAGCCCCGGAAGAGAAGCTGGCCCAGCCTTAGCTGCAAGCCCTTCCCTGGGTGGGGCTTCAAGCGCTGAGTCATGGCTTTGGTGAGGGGGCTCCTCCCCAACCTCCAAGCTGCTGAGGAAGTCCCTGGCTGGCAAAAATAGGCATAGGGCAGGAGGGGATGTCTCAAGTCCTTGGCTGCGGAAGGGAGTGCTGAGAAACTCCTAGGATAGAGTACTAGACCCCTTGAGCTTTTTCTAAGTACTCACTATGTTCCCCCGTCCCTGTGAATACAAATGCCAGCTCCTGGTGCAGCCCCTCCCGGTTCCTGGCTCCCTGGCCAGCTGCAGCTCTCCATGCAGCTGTCTGGGCTGTCAGGCCTGCTTGGGGAAGCCCTGAATTGGTCTTTCCTAGGCAGATAGTTACATCTGTGTTCTGGAACTTCTGGCTCTCATAGTGGCCAGAATCTTGGAACAGAGCCTCCTGTGGTGGCCTGTGTTAAACTGATAGATAAAGGGCATTTTTTCCCAAGCCGGACAGGCTGTGCAGCATCCTTCAAAGGCATGGCTGCCAATGGTTCAATCAGATGCTGCAGCTCTATTCCTGTCCCTTCTCTGCTTCAGGATTCATGGTGCCGTAGCCATTAAGAAGGAATGAGGCTGATGGCCAGGACGTTTGAGGGTTTGTGGCTAGGGCAGCCTGGCCATTTCAGCCCCAGGTCCTAAATGAAACTATGTCCCCTGTGCTTCTCAAGCCCTTTATCTTTCTCCTTTCCTTTCTGAAGAGTAGGGCAGAAAGGGGTGAGGAGCTGCTAGAACTAGTTGGCATCCCTTCTGACACTCAAACCCCAGCTAGTGTAAGACTTGTTCCTAGAAGTCTGTCTAAACCTTTGGCCTATTATGTTCCCAAGATACCTCTGAGCAGGCCAGATGGGCCTAGCTCACCAGCTAAGCTGATTGTATAAGGTGGGGGACTGCTGGGAGACTGCCCTTATTTCCTTATTTCCTGTTCCCAAGTTGGAGTTGGGGGGGGGGGTGTGCAGTCACGTGCCTGATCCATCTGCCTTTGGCTTCCGGGGATTCTCCCAGGCTTCTCTTGGTGATGTCATCATTAACTCCTCCCTCCCCGGGGCATCTTCTTTATCAGGCTGGATTGGTGGGAATGAGCTCTAAAGAGACCTGACCCATTTCTCCTTCTGGCTAGACTGAGCTATATGGAGTCTTCAGGTTGAGGGAGATGGAGTTTGAGGCATTGTCCCTTAGCTGATGGTTCATAACCAACTGCTTTACGGTCATCTAGCTGCAGGCCAAAGTGGCCTGCAGTTGAATCAAAGAAGTAAGGAACAGCCTCTTTCCAGTGATGGGGGGGGCTGTCCAGATGGGGTTGAAGCTCAACTTTGAGTCTCAGAGAGGACTGTCATGGGCACCAACACTGCATCATGAGACTTCAGCATTATTGTGTTTAGGAAATAAGGACTTGTTTAACCTTGGTTCATGAGGCATAGCTACACTGTAGAGTGCGTGTGTGTGTGTGTGTGTGTGTGTGTGTGTGTGTGTGTGCGTGTGTGTGTGCGCGCGCGCGCGCGCTCGTGCATGCACACACGCTTATATGATAGCCCATGTAGCAAGACTCGGTGGCTTCAGCCTGCTTGATGGGCTCTGGGTAGCTCCAAAGTGCTGGACCTGGATCCCAGTTATGTCCATGAGGCAGGGTATTTACCACTCTCACCCTTAATTTCCTGAAGCCCCCTTCTGGGAACAAAAACCCTGGGGAGATGCAACAGGAAATGAAACTCCAGCTGATATAACCACCCAATTCTTGTTGTAGGGCAACTATTGACGAGGTAGAAACAGATGTGGTTGAGATCGAGGCTAAACTGGACAAGGTAAGAGACAAACCTGGTGGTACATAGAGGGCCCAACATTACTCTGCCCTCTCCAAGCCCAGCCTGGAACTATGGGATGACTCCATGTGCATCTGCCTAATGTCTGAGATGCCTATGGGATGAGAAACAGCTGCTGTGCTTTCTGTGCCTAGTGTGACAGGGGTAGAGGAACACCGACCTCTCCTTCTAGACGATCTTCTGAATACCATGTAGATGCTGTGGTCTGTGCCTAGCCCTGAACTGAAAAGGGGAAACTATGTCTGGATATTAGCGGGCCCGAGTTAAATTCTGGCTGCCCCCAGCCGAAAGTGTATCCTCTCTGGCTTGGCCTTGTGGCAGATCTGAGTTATCAGCTTGGAGAAACCGTCAAGCCCTCATTTTGTCCACTCTATCTCACTTGTAGCTGGTCAAACTGTGCAGTGGCATGATCGAAGCTGGCAAAGCCTATGTCACCACCAACAGGCTC